TGTACACATGCATGCAGCCGCACCCACCTTGGCGTTTTCTGCCGTGCCTTTAGTGTCAGCCTATAGTGACGACACTAATAATAAGAATAGGAACAGTAACAAGAATAAATATAAATATAACCGTTCAGCATGGGCCCAGTCACAGCTCACCTTTGCAAAGGGGAAGCCACTACAGTGCTATCAGCAGGAGAAGAGCCATGCTGCTCCATTGGCGGTTGACAGAGGGAAAGGAAAGTCTGCACTAAGTGGTTGGCCTCTCTAGTGCACCCCTGCATAACCTGCGAGTACTCGTTGCAGGCACACGTCGTGGCACTGGCGAGGGGTGGCAGATGCGCCACAATAACTGCCAGGAGAATGCCCATAATGTTGCTCAAAATGCGGGTGGTCGCCAAATAGTCCTGCTCCCCTACAGCGAAAGAAGCACAAAAACATATGCATGTCAATACCGTGTATGCGACGAACGAACGCAAATAGGCAAATGCAGTCCTATTCCAGATTCACTTCCTGAGCCTCCCTAGAATAAGGTGGTTTTCCAATAATAAGGCAGTAAATGGATGTCAGCTTATAGCCAGAGGCAAAGATGAGAGTGTACGATAGCATATAATTCTATGCTTCACTGTTTCTAGCTGCACGGTTCCCACCTGTCAAGCCCCCCAATTNTACGATAGCATATAATTCTATGCTTCACTGTTTCTAGCTGCACGGTTCCCACCTGTCAAGCCCCCCAATTCGCCTGTTGCCAAAGTGACAATAAGAGACTGCGTGTAAGTGAAAACCATTCCTGAGTATCCCCACTTCCTGCTAAAACCATCGAGGGGGTGACGGGGGTCAGCAGATGCGAAAATGTCGACGAACACCGTCACTGAACAAAACGTGATGAGGGCTGCTAAACTTGCGCCGAACAACTTCATTCCCAGCCAACCGCAGAAGGAACCTAACAATATACCCAATGTGCGGGCAAGACCCCGATGCACAGTCCCGTTATATGTTGTTTGCAGTACTGTAAGATAGCCCAGTAGAAACCAGGGTACCATGCGCGTGGCGATCCCCTGATTGGATATGTCCAAAATAATAGGATTCTCTGTCACTTTGACACCTGAAACAAACAAAATATCTCCTCCAACGCATAACTACCAACCCTATTTCAGAGCCTTCCCATAGGCCCCAACCTTACAAGCAAGTCACCATACGTGAGCTAAGAAAATGGATAACAGCAGCTCCCCCTAACGAATTCTATTGATCATGAATCGTCTGCTGGTTAGTTTGCTCGGTAATGGATTGCTAGCCCCTGCCACGGGCTGAGCGACGCTCTCCACTGCTAGCCTGTTCTTACCCCAAGAGTACTGAAGGAATTTTGGGAAGCAGATGCCGCAGGAAAATATGATAATGAGGGGAATGACCAGCTTTATGACATACCAGACCTCTGGGTCCCTCCACCATGCGCCCGGACCCCTCCACTGTCGCCGCCAAAAAGCTAAAGCCCTAAGGGGAGCAACAACAAGTCGCTGGGCGTGGACTCCAACTGGCAAAAAGGGGAAGGCAGTATTCATGAGGAGCCCATGCAGAGTATTGGTTTGCTGTGCTTTGCTCAACGCACACACTGCTCGGCTGAGCCACAAGGGCTCCGAATAGCCGGCTTGTACGAAGCCAGTGACAGCAATACCCACGGGAAGGAGCTCCATTGCCCGTTGAAGGGACTTTCGGCGGTTCGCATATCTGGACTCTTTTGCAGGATTTACAACAGTGGGTTCTGAGTCAGCGACGGCAGCGCTGTCGGCCTCCAGCTGAGCAATTGCATATTCTGTGTTTACTTCTGATGGGCGGAATACTTCCAAGGCCAAACGGCGCATTTCGCCTTCCAGGAGAGACATCTGCTCCATCAGCTCGTCTGACTTCTGTTTGGTTTTGGAGGGAGAAAATATTGAAGGAAACGTAGTTAGGAGCTCCTCGCACAGCTCGTACATCCGTATGCATTTGTCCAAAAGGGCCTTGCCAGCAGAGACCAGGGTGGGATTAAAGTTCAAGCTGCCAAATGCACTATTGCTTTGGGGACGGACCATCAGCTTCAGCACGTTTTGGGTCTGCAAGCAGCACTGAATCAGCCTCTGTCGCACTTCGTCAAGCTCCTTCATGGTCCATACGCCAGGGCCCGGGTACAGCAGGAAGGGCTCCATTCCTGATAGCAGCGTGGCTTTCTGAGTCTCTAGCAGACTCAGCACGACATCGTCAAGGGCACGAACAGCCCCTCCATCGAGGCTGTCAGCCTCTGCTTTCGACTTCGCTGTTCCTCCCCTCTCCAGATCACTACGCTCTTCTCCGTCATACCCAACCCCATCCACAACTTGCAACGCCTCCTCGCCTTCCGTACCCATTGCCTCCAGCTTATCCTTTGCTAGGCGCAACGATCTGTAAGGTACAAAAAAAAATCAACAGTGTGGAGGCNGGTTTCTTATAGATAAAGCTGAGTTAATAATAACTTAGTGTATTCCATTCCACTATGAACTGATATTTGAGCTCTTAAATGGAAAAATGTGGTGATGACTTACTTGCGGATGGCGCTGCACGCGTTGGCCATTTCTCGTACTACAACATCGCGCTGCCGTCTGATTGGTGGCACCAACATGACTAGAAAATACACTGCAAACCCGAGGAACGCAAATATGATGAGGTTTCGAAGCATTCCGATGGACCCGGAGGCAACCCAAAGGGCCTTGATGAACCACGGGCCAGGCCTTGCGCCAATAGTTATAGCTTCTCCGCTCACGCCTTCTACGAAAAAGGGTACGTCGTACATCCAGTCCTGGGGAAGATCCAGCCCTGCGTTTCTAGGCACTTTATGCTCAAACTCGATAGGCGCTCCCCCAGGGAAGCTACCAAGAACAGTCAAGTAGAGACCTAATGCTTCTTGGGGAGGGAGTTGCGTGTCTGTTGGGACGGACGGAAGTTGAACGTTCAGAATTCGAGCAACGAGAAGCAACAATCGCACAGCCGAGGGTTTCGTTAGTACGGAAACGAACTCTACTGCCTTCTCGCGAGAAATCAGAAGGAAGCTGGAAGCTGCAGTCAATATGTCGTCAATGCTGCTGTTCGCCACAAACGCCTTCAGAGCAGCGTATCGCTCAGGTGTAAGGACTATGCTGATTCCTCCAGATGCATAAGGGGAGGCGATTAAGGTTGCCAAGGGTACGGCGTACAACAGTACGTAAGAGCCGATGAGGGTCATATCCTTCGTCTTGGTGGTTGTCAAGAACGACGACCAGAGTACGAAAATGGAGTAGAGGACAATACAGAGTGCTTTTCCACCACTGCTCACCAACAAAGACGAAACTAGCGTAGTCGCCAGAGCACAAGCCAACAAGATACACGACAGGCCTGCGAAAAGAATGATCACTGCTGAGCTTAGCATAGGGGGTGCCAGCGT